CTGCGGTTATGCGTTCGTCCGACAGTCAAATTCCTCCCACCTATTGTCCATTCCTTCTCTACAGAATAAACTATTCCTTCCATCTGATATCTTACTTCTTCTCCTTCTCACGAGGAACCAGGCCTGGAGATCTAAGTGGCAAGAGTCGCCCCTTTTAACTTAACCCACAGTGATATATTCACCCCATAGAACCATGAGTTTTTGCAATTGTGGTCCTTTTTGTCCGATTTAGTTTGAGACATAAATTGTGCTTGCAATGTTTACGACGGAAGTAGAAAAGTGTTGACCTCGTATTCTATTATAATGAATATAACCCTTACGCAATTTTAATTGAGGCCACACGTGGACACGCTCTCTGTTTATCTTTTAGAAGGTCACAAAAAGCTCAGTCATGCCGTCATCAATCGTATTGCCGGAGCAGTATTATGACAGGGGAGTGTTGTTTACGTCACCCGGTCGGAAGTACCAGAAGCAGAAAAGTGGTGTGCGCCACCTGGTCTGTACGTGACCATAAACAAACATGCCAGACACGGATGATTTCTGCAATGACACGGTCGAATTAATAAAAGTGTCACGAGGGTGTCGCAGCAGCCTAAACCATCGAGACAGTCTGGCCATTACGACCTTCGGGTAAAGTCCTGAAAAAGAAGAGAAAGAACTGGATCGTCAGTTGGGAGGATATTCTATTCCAGGCCAAATATACATAAGGGAAAAAGACAAGGGAGACTGGAATGACCATTTCCAGCTTATTAGCCGGCACCAGCCAGTCATACCCGATTCCAAGTGGTGCATTACCCAAGGCTCTAACTCGCAACATTTTTGATCAGAAGTCTATAAGGATTAGTAACCATGGTACCTGGCTGCCCATCGATTGGTTACGGAACTGACTCGCCTCGTTGTGCCTTGGGACTAACTCGCGAGCCCCGCCAGCAGTCGCCCAAGGGCTGGTAGATTAGAGGCAGAAATGCATTACCGAAAAATATAAGGGAAGAAGGAGGGATTTCTGTAACCGATCGGTGAGCGTCAATCTATTATTGTAAATATCCCCGATAGAAATTGGCAAGGCAACGAGCCCATGGCGCAGTGGTTGGCGCGTTGGACGTCTGGCCAACAACGTTGCGGGTTCGAGCCGTTGGTGTCGCAACACCTGGGGTTGGACATGACTTGCTGATGAAGCCTTATAATCCAGAAATGACCATTCCAGTCTCCCTGGCCTTTGTCCGTAATGTACTTCTGTAGGGGTTGCTGCCTGCCCGATGCCAAACATTCCTGTCGTGACCTCAATCCCTCTAGACTCCAAGGTCAGGGAGGCCGCCCACTTCGATTTCTACCCACACACTATCCAACCAATCACAGGCCGACCCAGACAATTAATGCTCTCTCTCTGTCCACTGGCCTGACTGCTGTCAAACCAGCACTTGGACTCGACTGTCTCCCCTGGCCGGTTGTATGCTCTCCAAGTCAAATCTATTTCCATCTATTCTTCGTTTCTCTGTGTACACAATATACTGTTCCTACTAACCTGGCCCTCCCAAGACCTCTTCTCAACTAAGTAACCATGGTCTGAAGATCGCAGTTGCTAGGATTTAACTTACTTAACCCCCTGCGATACTTCTGCCTATAATATGCTAGACACTGGGCGGCTGTTGGCGGGCTCCAAAGCGAGCTGCAAAGCACAACGGTACGAACGAGTTCCATACCTGATCGGTGAGCGCCCATCTACCATATTATATTCTGTCCAGAAAGAGTAAAGTTTGAAAGAAGTTACTAAACGGAGAAGAACCTCCGGTTAACGAGGCTGAGCAACGGTTCTGTTTTCGTTGAGTGGCCGCAGCCGCCTACACTTCGCACTTAGCCGAACATAATAAGCCGCCGACACGGCTGCCGACGAAAGTGCCTGATTAGAAATGTAATTGTTCCTGTTTGCTGAGTTGTGTGCATCGCATGAATTAAATGTTATCCATTCAACTGTCTTTCCGCCATCTCGATTTAGAATCTACAAATTGCCAATAGAGGAGAATATACGAGTTCCAGGCAGCAGTTCCGAAGAA